ATGAACATTAAACGCTCCTCCATATGTGGACGTGGAGGAGCGCACGGGAAAAAAAGGGGCAAAACAAAAACTTACAAAAACCGGAAATCAAACACGGGGAAGGGATGCCGCTTACAGTTCGGGCCGCTGTTCTGTAACGTTGCACACACACGAGGGACGAGGAGACGCTGGAGAATATGTTGACAGGACTTTATTTGCATGAAGGGAGACGAACACAGGAAGACGTTCAACAGCGGACAGAGAACTAGGGACTGGGAACACGTTAAATACACACAGGAGGAGGGGATGACGAGACACACCTGGGATCAATGAACCATCAAGGGAAACACCTGGGACAAATGAACTAAACTAATCAGGACAGGAACAGGAAACTAACCAAATAAGGGCATGGGAAGGCACATGGGGAGCAGGACACACACAAAACATGGAACAGAGTCTGACAACATGCTTAAAAAAAACTCCAGCTGGTCCAAAATGCAGCAGCTAGAGTTGCTAAACATTGTATACATTTTAAAATCTTGCTGATTACTTTTAAAGCCCTGAATGGTTTAGCTCCTCAGTCCTTAAGTGAGCTCTTATCATACTGTAGTCCTTCACATCCGCTGCAATCTCAAAATTCTGGACAATTGAAAATACCTGCTCAAACTCTGAAACAGTCTTCCTAGTGTTGTTCGGGAGACGGACACGCTCTGTCAGTTTAAATCTTTAACCTGGCATACACATAACACTATCACATTTCTGTAATTCACATCCGTTCAAGGACTGTTATCATGCATTAATTAGGTCAACCGGAACCGGGAAGTCTCCATTGACATTACTGGACCGTTCAAAACTATACCATCAGACTGCAGGTATGCAGTCACGCTCGTGGATTACTTTAGCAAATGGCCTGAAGTTTTCGCGTCCAGAGTTGACACATCTATTGACCGAGAAGGAAATCCAAAAGAGTTGGTCTCAGACAATGGACCACAGTTTATCTCTGCTGAGTTTTCTGAGTTTCTGAGAAAGAGAGACATACATCATCTCAGATCTGCTGTTTATTATCCTTATATTATGCTTCAATTCAAGATGAACATTCCAAGACGTTCACTCGAACATTCTTGATGAACTATTGAAGTACTCCTCATAGCACCTCACCATCTGAGTTACTCCATGGCCAACGTATGAGAACCAAGTCACAAGACATGGACCTTCACGTAGAAGAGACTGACAGAAACATGATACGACACTGTGTGAAAAGCAAGATTTCAACCTTGTGATCTGGTTCGAGTTAAGAGACCTTGGATGGTAAAGAAGCTGAGACATTCTCTTTATTACATTGAGTTCATAATACTTGCATAATACTTGCTCATTCTTGACTTATGTTTATTTCTCTTTTGTTATACAAACAGCTGTATTCATTCTGAAAAGGGGAAGATGTTGTGTTCTCTTACTACAGCATTGCTATACTATTCATGTCCACTTGATGGTACGGTAGTTATACATGTTCAATTGATGTAAGAAGTGTGCATTGAAAAAGAACGAGTTGAGTAAAGTAGAAATGCTAATTTACAGCTTGTGTTCTGCCTCCTTATTATCTAATCCTCCTTCAACAAAACAATAATCTTGTTTCCTCATGGGGTTACTATATTTGTGGGGACATTTGGTCCCCTTAATGTAGGGAATACCAAGTACACACACACACACACACACACACTTAAATTAAGTATTCATTACTGGGACTCTCCATAGGCGTAATGGTTTTTCTACTGTATACACTGTATTTTCTGTCCCCTTATCTGGCTATAAATCTGGCTATATCAGGGAATTTAAAATATTTTAGGCCTGAAAATGAATAAAATCACAAGTCATTGTAATGACCATGTAGTCAATTATGTTTTGTTCTTAAATACTTAATTAGCCAGAAAAAACTTTATAAATATTGCTATTAAATCAATGATTATTTTTTAAATCCTCATCCAGTAATCACGTAAAACACATCATCAGTGTGTGTTTGTCTCTCAGAGCCCATCGTTATGCTGGAGGATACAATAAATGGATTGAGCTGGAACCTCAGTAAAGCAGAAAGAGTCATTTCACCAAACGAAGCTTATTTCCGCTCTGTGAAGGAACATGAAGACGATGACTGTAATGTATACAGCACTTGAAAGTTAAAATGACAACACAAACCAAAAATATATTATTTATAATAACTCAGATGTGTCTATATATTTGTTAGTAAAAAAATAATACTAATTTTACTACTACTACCACTACCACTACTACTAATAAATAATAATAATAATAATAAATATTGCATTGCAAATGTTTATGATGGTTTTGATGCCATTATATTATTTTAATATGATTTTTGTCAGCATGAACTCCATAGCAATGGACCCAGCTAAAAATGTAGTAAAATAACTAAAACTAAAATAAAGCTTAATAAAATCTATTTAAAAAAGAAAAATTAGAAAAACACACAACAAAATTGCCAACATTTTAAACTAAAATTAAAATACAAAAATACAACAGAAAATACAAAAATAAAAACTAATTTAAAATATAAAAAGTTTGAATTCATAATCAAGCACTGACCAAACTGAATGGAAGAACGGTATAATAACAGGGATTTCCTAAATGAAATAAATTCAAATTCACACTAGTTTTTTTTTTTTTTTTTGCAGCAAGAACTTAGATGCACTACATGAACAAATTTGGTTTCCATGTACCAATGAAAATTTACCAGCCTGTAATTTCAATAACTTGTAACATTATATGTAGGACATTTAGTGAGAACTATGCCACAAGATGGTGCTATATTAAAGGAGTTTTCATACTGGCTTCTCTATTGACAACACACCTCAGGTATTTTAATTTAAGAAAGCCAGAGCAGTGGTTTCACACTTTTTAAACACACACCACTTCTAAAGGCTTGGAAAACAGAAAATGGCAAGCTACAGCATAGGAATAAGGATACTTTGTTAAAGGACAGCTCTATATTTTTTATTTTTGGTCATTTTATATTTAAATATTCCTATTTTATTCTTTGCATTTTCAGTTTGACAGTGAAAAGATCAAACATTAAAGACGGCAATACCAAAGACAGTTATGCTTCAGGACTTTATTGAAAAATGTTTTTCATGCATGAGTCGCTCTGTGAGGACAGAATAATGTGTTCAGAAGTCTTCAGAAGGGTTCGATTTCATCCTCTCTTTTTTTAGGAAACTGGAAATCAAGCAGATTCACTTTTTCTCCATAGCAAGGGAGAATCTGAGAGACTTTCACATGAGCACAGTCATTCTCTCCAACATGCACCTGAGAGAAGAAGAGGAAGAGACCGTCACATTGTACACTGTTATATGGACAGTAGACACTGCAAGAAAAGTTGTTTAAACAAATGAATAAAGAAAACACCAATTCACCTTGGCTATGTACTGTATTTCAGTATCAGCCGCTCTGAAGGTGAGGGCGTTGTACACAGACTTCGGTCCAATCTTCTTCTCCAAATCTTTTGTCACCTGAATAAACAGATACACATTTTGCATTGATCTACATATTATATACAATATTGTTCAAAAGATGTATTTATTTATTTACTTATAAAAATCATTTTTTTTTTAAATCAAAAACTACTGAAAAAAAATTGGTTTCCACAAAAATATGAAGCAGCACAACTGATTTCAGCATTGCTAATAATCAGAAATGTTTCTTGAGCAGCAAATCAGCATATTAGAATGATTTCTGAAGATCATGTGACACTGAAGACTTGCCATCACAGGAAAAAAAATACATTTTATATATGTTTTATATTTTACTTTTAAAAAATATATTAAAATAGAAAATCTTTTAAGTCGAGTGATAAAGTTTACCCTCTTCAAATTAATGCTGTTGAACTGAATTTACGGAGCAAATTTGCTCAAATAACCATTAACAGCAATACAGCGGTTCAGCGCGTGAAAGCTGCACATGTTACTACGGTATAACAAACACTGCCTGTTTTCTTTGAGAATCATCATTGGCTGGTAGAAATACAAAATCAGGTTACATAACAGTTTCTACGTAAATATGAAGATAAGGTAAAGCTGTGGATTTTAGACACTGTCAGCAGGGCCGTTTTAACCATTGGGCTAGGCGGGGCTGAAGCCCCGGGGCCCGAGCAAGGAGGGGACCCGTGATTGGCTGTGGAGTAGATTGACTGGAGCGCCGATAGCCAAAGCCACCACACCCCCCATTTATTAGCGCTGTTATTTAGTTGAGCTTTCCCCTAAATTTCATGCATTACCGTTTGAGATTGAAACGTAAAGTCTGAATTTGGTTTACCAATCAAATGCATTTATTCTATATTTGACTTTTGAACGATATGCGCACGTATCTATCAGGTGATTGCTGCCCAGTATGTCTGCATTCACCTCTCTTCACTTTGTTCAGGAGTAATCTGGAAAAGGTCGCGCAAAGAACAACATTCAATAAGTAAAAATGTCAGCAATTCTAAAAGAGAGAGGGGCTCAAAAAACGAAAAACTTCAAATACAAACAACATAAAAAATATGACTTCTTAAATTCCCCAGCTATCAGGTTATTTTACTAAAGCCGATGATGGAGTGGAAGTTGCTGGAACAGCAAGTTGGCAGTAAAGCTCATTCTGATTCTGATTCTGATTCTATAAGTACAAACTAGGAGGAAATTATGCAATTTTAATTACTCATCATTTCGAGATTATTTCAAGACATTTTTAGGTATTGTTTTTAGCAGAGCACTAAACACCAATATATCCAGATCCTTCTTATTCTCAGCCTCCTAATCACAGATAACTTCCTAAATCAAATGAAATGTGAAAATGAAGAGTACACTAAGACAATCATGTGTTCACTGGCATTTAATGTTTGTACAGAATATTCTTTCAGCTGATAAACCGCAATGTACCACGATGGCAAACAAGAAATAATTTAGCAACATATTTACATGGCAACACAACAAGAGTTCATTCACAGTTCCAGCAGAAACAAACATAACATGCAGTGCAGCTGTACATGTGTGTTTCACTCTGACATCCTCAAGGGAAGGAAAAGGCTTTTCTCTTCAACAAAACCAGTGGCCTGTTTAAAGCTGAATTCATATACAGACAAGCAAAACTGATGCTAGATAAATAATACTCTCAACAAGAACTAGTAATCACTATCAAGAATCGATATTGTCATCCTCAGATGAGTGTTTTACAGAAACTGTAAAGGGATAGTTCATCCCAAAATGCTCATTTTATCATTATTCACTCGCCCTCATGTAGTTTCAAACATTTATTTTTATATTTACAACACAAAATAAGACATTTTTAATGATGTTTATGCAATTTTTCCATGTTACAGGTCATTGTGACCCACTATCAAACAAAAAAAAAACTGTGTAATATTTCAGGTAGAAGTATATGCAAAACTGTATTCTGAAGTCATATGATTTGCATGACATAAATGGACTTTTAAGTTTTTCAAATCAATTTTTGGGGGTTTCATTGTCGTTGTATGGAAAAAGTTGCATGAAGATATACTCAAATTTTTCCTTTTGTGTTCCACAGACAATAAATCATCAAACAGGTTCAAACGACATGAGAGGGAGTGAATAATGACAAATTTCATTCTGGAGTGAATGATTCCTCTAATTCTGCTTGGTGTCAGGTTTCTGAAGCTGATCTGAATGTGTGAGATGTTGAGTGTGGATTGTGTGTTCAGTATTACAGACTGACAGTCGTTTCTCCTTCAGTGACAGACGCACAGCAGCTCTATAAGAGTTCAACTTCATTCAAAGACAAACGTGCTTAAAACACACACACATTATACGCAAACTTCATTACAACCATCAGTCCTGCACAGAACGAAATATGAGAAATAAATGACAGAAAACTACAGTGCTGTTCTTTCACTCGATTTGAATGAGCATCTCAAAACAACTAAACGCTAAACCAGCATTGTTCACTGTGGTCAGACGTTTCACATTCACAGCTAAACTGATAAAAACAGACATCATATATATATATATATTTCAGTTTCACATGTCACTGCATATATTCAAGCATTCGGCAGCATTGATGCGTGCAACAACAGGATAAATCTCATAGAAATATATCCAGGTCACATTTCACACCAAAGATAAACAAAAAGGAATTATGTTTTGCATAAAGAAAATTGAACCCATTCTTATCTATTAAAAAAAAAAAAAACTTGTGACATTATTTTCAAGTACATTTTAAGCACAGTTTAATTGTATTAAAATATAAAAAGTGTATTAATAAAAAGCAAAAGGATCATGCAAAAATTAAAGGAAGTTCAATAAATATGACTATGAAATATAAATATTGAAAATTTAAATAATGTGATTTTGTTTGTATTACAGTAATGAGAATTTAAGGGTTAAATGTGCTTAATTGTCACGAAAATAATGTCAAAACACGGAAAATCTTAAAAACAGGCATAATTTTCTTTAAGCAAAATATTATTAAACTCATTTCGTTCTATTCATTTTGGGGTCAGATATGACCCGGACAAGTTTTTGACAGGTTTTGTGAGATTCGCCTGGTTAGTGAGCTTGAATGTTTAGGATTTCGGAGATATCAAAAAAGCCGTTCTTGTTTTTGTGAGATGGGCTGAATGGAAAATAAGCTCGTGTTTTAAAAATGGTATTGTCTCATTAATGTACAAGGAACCCTATCAAATGTGACAAACAAAAATCTTTTGCTTTTGTACAACATATTACAGCTGGTTTAAGTTGTGAGTTGTGAGCAAAACCTTCATTTGACAGGAAAGGCCTAATAATTTGTTAATACTTAAAGCCCAAAACAAGCTTTCACGAGTATAAAATGAGTAAAACAGAAAGTGGATTCAGAATCCCTGATGTCAGCAAGTCACACTCACAAACCTCCTTCAACCAGCATCATCACATCATAACATTAACCAGAAATAAAGATCACTGTGCTGAAAGCAGATATGATTAGTTTGTAACTAAACAGCTCTTAACCAGTGAGTATCATTAGCTGGGTTAGGTCTTCATCTTTTCCTGATCCAGCTGTGGTTTGTTTGTTACGACTCTTTGTAGGAGCAAATGTCTGTTAGTTTGTCTTTTTATTCTTATGCTACAGGCGGCATGATTTCTCTTTCACACTGAAACTCACTTATATCACCACAAAAATACCCATCTCGAGCTTCTGTTTAATTTAATTCCCATAATGTACTTCACTGAAGCCACACAAACACCTTGAGATCCAAAAGTCTCCATTGAGAAGACATGATGGAGCTGGAACAGACTGACCAGAACTTACCAGGTCAAGAAAATATGATCATATTACCCCAATTTTACAGTCTCTGCACTGGCTACCTATTAAGTTCCGTATCAGTTACAAAATATTATTACTTGCCTATAAGGCGCTATATAAATAAAGGTGACTTGACTTGACTTGACTAGTGTTCAAACCTCCACGTCCGGCTCTGTAACAGACATCCTGATGTTAGATGTGTCCGTGAGGCTCACGGAGGGCCAGTGGATCACAGCGAGTCCTTTGGCTCAGTGGACTCTTCAGTATTGAAGGGTTTTGGCTCTTTTTTCATCCTTTTGCTGAACCAAACACGTTCTTCTCGATCTCTGTAGGCCTTATAAATGTCTTCAGGCAAGAGTTACACAAGTCTGTTTACTCAAACGACATGAGATTCGCTGGTATCTACAAGAGCAGAAAGAGTGTTATGCATTTATAGTTTAGTTGTTCTCAGTAGCTGAACAATGTCACAACTTGCTGCATTACAACAGAACTCATTCAGAATTTTGAGTCATAAGTATTTTTCATACTATTAAATACATATCAGTTAATATAAATATATACACTAACATTCAAAAGTCTGGGTAAGATTTTTGTCTCTTCTGCTCACCAAGGCTGCATTTATTTGATCACAAATACAGTAAAAACAGCAATATTGTGAAATATTATTACAGTTTAAAATAACTAGTTCTAGGTGAATACATTGTAAAATGTAATTTATTTCTGTGATCGGCAGCTGAATTTTCAGCATCATTCCTCCAGTCTTCAGTGTCACATGATCTTCAGAAATCATTCTAATATGCTGATTTGCTGCTCAAGAAACATTTCTGATTATTATCAATGTTGAAAACAGTTGTGCTGCTTCATATTTTTGTGCAATCTTTGGTAAATAAAAAGTTAAAAAGAACAGCATTTATTTGAAATAGAAATCGTTTGTAACATTATTAATGTCTTTACTCTCACTTTTGATCATTTTAATGCATCCTCGCTGAATAAAAGCATTAATTTCTTTTTTAAAAAGCAAAACAAAACAAAACAAAAATCTTACTGACTCCAATATATATATATATATATATATACATAAATATAAAAAAACATATTTAAACATTACAATTAAAATATTAAAATATAATATTAAAACTAATATCTAAAAAAATTACCCCAAGTGTTCATAATGTGATACCGTTTTTGCATTGATTCCAGACTTACAGCTTTATTCATCTGTTATGAATACCAGTAATTTGATTTCTGAATCTCTTGAATTTGTGTCCATATCAATTTTATCTATCTATCTATCTATCTATCTATCTATCTATCTATCTATCTATCTATCTATCTATCTATCTATCACAAGCTAAATGCATGGAAATGAGTGAATCAGTGGTTGCTGATACCTGAGGTCTTCTTCTCCGACAGGCCTCCTCCAGGTGTTTGTGCCACATGATCGCAGTGAACCGATCGCTAGTCTGAAACTTGTAAACATTGCCTGAGAAACACAGAGATTCTGCTCTAGTTATGTGGATACAATCATTTCACAATGAATACATTTATCATATAAAAGCACTAAAGGAAACCCTGTGTGAATCATATTTACCTTTGTCAGGATGGTTGAGCTGAAAGATGTTGGGTTGAGCCGGATCATCCGGCAGCACCACCATCCAGCCCAGAACACACACTTTCTTACACGGCGAAGACTTGTACTGTTATACAGCGTAAGATTCCATAAAATGTTATTTTCATGTCAAATTATTCATTTTTCTTCTTAAAAGAATGAAATGTGTCTCCATTAATGTTGACATTTTTTATTTATTTAAAATTAATTTGAATAAAATGCTTTTTTTTTTTTTAATAAAAATACGGAATTACTGTGTGCTTCTTTGCATCACTCACATGTTTCCGTTCTGTGGCTCGCAGGGCTTTGGATCCGTAGAATATGAGAGTGGAACCAGAAAGTGTGAGCCAAAACCGCGTCCACGAGGCGAGCTGAAAACAAAACAAAACATGACATACAAGCCATGACGCAAACATGAACTAAACAACAGAGCTGGGCAACATTTGCTATGAACATATAAATATATGAGATATCTAGGGAAATTCCTGCAACTCAGATGAGAGAGCATGGTGCTAACTTCAAACTTCAATTCCCAGGGAATGCATGAACTGATCAAATTTACCTTTGGATAGAAGCATCTGCCAAATTCATAAATGTAAATGTAAATACATTTTTTTTTGTAGATATACTGTTTCTGAAAAGATAAATGAAGAAAGACTTTGAAATGATCTTTTTTGATGTTTTGTGTTTGTACGAGTTGGCCACTAGATGGAGTGCTTGAGTCAAATATTTGGTTCATTCAAAGCCACAGAGACACACCTGTTGGTCAGTGTGAAAGTTTTCTTTGTTCAGGATGCTTTTAATATCTCGTGAAGGCCCTGAAGGTGGCTGAAATGTCATGAAACTTTTACCAATTAAAGTTAAAGCTAAAAATTGGCCTCTGTTGCATACTTTTTTTTTTCTTTTTTGAAAAGTACATAATCAACAAAACATCTCAAAATTAATCTGTTATTATCCGTTACATCCCAAACAGCAAAACAAAAAAAAAAGTATATTTCAAAATATACAAAAAAGGCCAAATATATTTGCTAAAATATTTCAAAATGTATTTATATACATATATTTTCTACCAATATATTTTTGTATTAATATTTTTGAAAATATATTCAAAATATAATCTATCTATCTATCTATCCATCCATCCATCCATCCATCCATCCATCCATCCATCCATCCATCCATCCATCCATCCATCCATCCATCCATCCATCCATCCATCCATCCATCCATCCATCCATCCATCCATCCATCCATCCATCCATCCCTTTTTAAAAATATATACTTTAAGTATATATTTTAAAGGCATTTAGTGATAACTTTGCCCTTCATTTATTTCAAACCATGAACATACATTAAAATGTCACGTTTGAAGAAAGCATTTTATGCTGTCTATAATGCATACACATTTGAATAATAATCAACAAAGGGACATACTTTACAATGTTAAAAATAAAATAAAAATAAATATTCTTATGAATACTTATAAATATATATATATATATATATATATATATATATATATATATATACACTGTATATATTTTTCAAAAACATATTTCATACATACAACATATATTGAGCATATATTTAAAATATTTTTTGGCCCCATATAAATATGTAATCTTCACGCTGACATCTTTGGCCATAAGGTGGGGGGAGGCGAATGTACAGCGCTCTCTCCCACCTTCAATACCACGACTGAGGTGAGACCCTTGAGCAAGGCACCGAACCCCCAACTGCTCCCCGGGTGCCACAGCATAAATGGCTGCCCACTGCTCCGGGTGTGTGTTCACGGTGTGTGTGTGTTCACTGCTGTGTGTGTGCACTTTGGATGGGATAAATGCAGAGCACTTGGCCACGTCACGTCACTTTCACGTCACTTTCACTTTCATAAGTACAGTTTCTGGAGCTGTAAATGTCATGTATGCACCAATTCAAAGCAAATGCATATATTTATATACTGAATATTCACAACTGCTGAAAAATATTTAAACATAGCTTTTTAAACTCATTTTTGTTCCCTTCCTGTTCACCTTAGGTTTCCTGCCCTCCTTCAGCAGGGTTTTCCTCTTCAGCGGCCCCTGCATTGTGACTCCACTCGCCTCTCCATGAGCCAGACTGGGCTCTGCTACTGACGGACTGCACAGAGGGAATCACATTAGCCCAACACCTTCTCAAAAACAACAACAACCAGCCCGCGTGTGTGTGTGTGTGTGTGTGTGGACTGTTGCTTCTCTAAGCATGTAATGAGGCCTCAGAGAGCAGATGTTCCAGCTCACATCTGCTGTGAGGATGTGATGGAGCTGCTGGAGAGCTCAGGCTGAGGTGAAGAGTTTGAGAGAGTAAAGAGAGCGCTGATGCAGGACAGAAAGGTTCCCCTTCACCCGGCAAACACCCCACTCACAAGATATCGGCTCTGTTTACAAACCTAGTGAGCTGCCTATGTAGGATGCATTTTCATACGCACACTCTCAATGTAAACCGTATAATAATGCAGCCTTTAAAATACTCTATTCGTGCCAAATTCCTCAAGTGTTTTACTCCATATTAGACTTTAAAATGTTTAAAAGACCATTTAATATCTGACGTTCCAGTGAAGACCTGCACTATCTATCAAATACATTGTTTTTATACATTATGAATGGCTAGAAATCAATCATTTTGTATTATACCATCATTATATAATCACTGTTGCACTCTATTGAGCCGAGTCTCCTCACATACATCACACTTGCATTGCTTTCTAGAATCTTCATTTAACTAAACCACAATCAAAGGCACTTAAACTTCGTGTTGCTTTGAAAAAAGTCTGATAAAGCGGGGTTTTCAATCTTCCAGATGCCACAGACCCCCAAATATGTTTTAAAAGGCAGCTTTAAATTTTTATGTATAAAGAACATATTTATAAAGTGTTAAAAATTATTATTATAAATATGTGTAAAATGTTATTTGGAAAAAAATGTGTTTCTATTACATTATATATTTTTTTTCCTACACACTATAGTCCTGTACTGTTCAGATGTATTTAAATCAATTTCTAAATTTTTATTTTTATTTCAAATCTCTCTTAATATTTTTAAATCGGTTTTAAAATCAGATTTTAATTATATTACATTATATTCTGTTTTTCCTACTCACTTTAGTACTGTACTGTTTAGATGTATTTAAATCAATTTTTTTTTAAATCTAATTCACTAATTCATTAATTTATTTAATCTATTTTTATATGATTTATTTATTTGAACCTAATTGTTATTATTTATTTTAATCTTATTCATTTGTTTATGTTAATCAATTTTTTTTATTTTCACCTAATTGTTATTGTTTAATGTATTTTTATTATTATTTTTTTTAAATAGTTGGTTTATTTATTTTTAATCAAAATGTTTTCTTTATTTTAATCTTTTTATCATTTGTTTACTTTAACCTAATTGTTATTGTTATTATTTATTTTAAACAGTTTCTTTATTTAATGTTATTTATTTATTATTTATTAATTTTCACTTTTTTATGCCGTTTTTCTCTAAACTTTTCTACAGACCCTCAGTTTGAAAACCCCTGTGCTAAATGACTGAAGCTCTATTTGAATGCTGTCCATGTACAGTGTCACACTAGTTAGGATGCTGCATCAGAAGGAAGCCGTCTAGGTAGACAGGACAGGACAGTGGGCCGCAAGTTAGCTGTTTAGGTTTCGGAACAGAGCTTTTCTCTTCTATAAATACAGTCATTCTGTACTATAAACATGATGACAATCTGATGTCTGGATAAAGAGAGAACAGATGACAGACATGACAGTCTTCAGACTAAACCAGAAAAGAGAGGGAAACTGGAATGTTAAAGAGGAGACGCTGCATGCCAAGACAGGTGAACCCGAGTCCCAGAGGAATGGAGGAGGTGACCTTTGACCCAGGTAAGGGTTTGTACCTGTGGGCATGGCTGCGGCCTCTGGGGGATGCGCGGAGAGGAACCCTCCAGTTAGGGCCCAGAGTGGCGTACATGCGGCCCCTGTTTGCACATTCGCTAAAATGAGTTTGATTGATACGGATACTACACTCAAACTAATATTTAGGCCTAAATTTGTGTATTGAAATGCATATCAAATTTTCATCCATTTGATTTCACAGTTTTAACAAACTAATAAACTTAATGCGATGCATGTTTGTCAGTCATACATGACTTAAACAGGTAAGAAACAGGTCAAATTTCTGCACTCACAAAAATAAATAAATAAATACATAAATCATGGCTTAGTTTATTACAAACTTTATGCATCTGTTTGATCAAATTTAAATGATCTAATTTCAAAATGCATTTATTCAAATTGCTTATAATCAGCATAAATCGATGGAAGCTTATTTCTATAATAAAAAAGGGTAACCGACTTTTTTCATCTTTTATTCTTCCTGTTCTGATATATAAACTCAGAATTGCATTTTAAATTCAGAATTCTGATTTACATCCAAATTTACATCTCGCAATTCTTACTTTTTTCTCTGAATTCTGAGTTAACATTTTTTTTGTCTCATGGAATAAAAATTAAATTTATAAAATATAAAATAAAATTATTAAAAAAATGTAGATTAAAAATAAATAAACCAACAATTTGTTTGAAAAAATAAATAATAAAAATACATTAAACAATAACAATTAGGTGAAAATAAAAAAATTGATTAACATAAAGAAATGAATAAGATTAAAATAAATAATAACAATTAGGTTCAAATAAATAAATCATATAAAAATAGATGAAATAAATTAATGAATTAGTGAATTAGATTAAAAATTAAAAAATTAAAAAAATTGATTTAAATACATCTAAACAGTACAGTACTAAAGTGAGTAGGAAAAACAGAATATAATGTAATATAATTAAAAACCGATTAAAAAAATATTAAGAGAGATTTAAAAAAATAAATAAATAAAAATAAATAATGGAATAAAAAAATTAAAACGTAATTGTGACTTTTTGTCTCGAGTTTATATCTTGCAAATCTGACCTTTATTCCTCAGACTTGTGAGAGAAAAAAGTCAGAATTGTGAGATAAAACGTCATAATTACCTTATTTATTTATTTAGATCCCGTTTCCATATAAATCAGTTTATTGTGTTCGCAGTTAAAAAGTATGAACATGGTTAAAATATGGCTAGCTGTGGAACAAGCAAATGAAAATGGAAACAATTTGGATTTATTGATGATAAATAAATAAACCTGGTTATTGTACATTTAAAACACATTCAGTTTACAGAAATCTAACCTGTTTAATTTATGTATAGTTGACAAATATGCATCACATTCAGTTTATTCGTTTATTGATGGACATTTCAAATGCAATACATAAATCTTACATTTAGGCCTAAATATTGTTTGAGCATATACACTGACTGATTTAAAGAAAACTGAATGAAATTACTGAATCTCTGCAAATGTTAAAGGGATAGCTCACATAACAATGAAAACTTACTTTCTCTTTTACATGCAATTCAAACATACAGTACAGTGATGACTTTCAACTTTCAAAAAAGCACAATTTCACAGCTCATATGATTTGTGCACAATATCCCAAGACTTCTGAACTCATATGTTCCAACACAAAGGACTTGTGCAAACTGAAGACTAGTGCAAAAGTTGTTTGCATCACTGTTATGGTGCTTGAAAGCTCTTGGTCACGGTCTGCTTTTACTGCATGGAAAAGAGCAGCGTGAACATCTGCTAACCGTTTCCTTTTGTGTCTCATAGAAGAAAGAAAGTCATAACATGAGTGTGAATAAATTCGTTTTCAGGTGAACTATGCCTTTAAATTGCTCTGAGATCAATTTTTGTTGCAGTTGTTTTGCTATTTGTATGGATATAAATGCGTTCTCCTGTGGAATGGACATATAAAGATGTTAAACATTTATAAACATCTATAACTGGAAACAACAGGCTAAATGAACAACAAAAACAATAAACAATTAGTACTGTTGAGCTATGAAAAATGAATAAAAGTCTTAACTTGTTACATGGCAGTTCATCTTATGAAGATCATACAGTAACACTTTACAATACGCTTCATTTGTAAACATTACATCAGTTAACATGAATGAATGAACAATGAAAATGCTTCTAAAGCATTTATCTCAGTCTTAATCTTAGTCAATGTCAACATTTAGTGATACATTATTAAAGATCAAAAGTTGTATCTATTAGTATCATTTTTAGCTAACATGAACTAACAATGAACAGCTGTATATTTATGAACAAATATTAATAAGTACTGTAACAAATGTATTGCTCATTGATGTTAGTTTATGTAATGTTAACTAACGAGACCTTATTGTGAAATGTTACTGGTCAGATTCTTTTATTAGTAATCTCAGACTGCCAGGCCAGGAAAACCTTTTCTTTTCTCATAATGGTTGAGTTTTCCTCTAGAATGACCGGAGTAAGTCATACTAAAGCTGCAATGTGAGCAGGTGATGTTTAGACACAAACACATGAAAAAACAGACAGAGTCTCACCTCTCGAGCCCTGGAGAGAGATCATCACAGAACGAACTCTGACTGCTGCCTGATGAAACACAAACCAAACAAACCTCACAACTGTTTCCAGTAGAGTACACAATGAGGTACAAAAGCAGTACAGTACGACCTTAAAGACATTACTGGGGCTGCAAAATGGTTACATTTAAAACACTGAAGAAATACATTTTTATTAAAATGTTATTTTAATAATTTCATTAGAAATTGATAACACAAAATAATTTCGACTTGTCTCTCATTTTCTTGTAATAAGTAAGTAATGCACTTACTATGGAAGTACATTGGGTCAGGCATTAAAAAACACTGAAAGCCACAAGACTATATTGCATGAGTTTGCATGGGATCTGTGTGGTACAAACACTGATTTTCTCTGTGCTAAGTTATATTTAGTCTTTCAACTCTGTTGCCATGGCGACATAATGGCGGTTCTGTTCCTTTTGCACAAGACATGCAATGATACCAGAAATCTAATATCTATTATAAAACATATCTGCTTGATTGCATATAGTGTAGCAAAATATAATTGTCCAGCTCTAATCTGCTAAATGCAACTCTACGGCATGAAGATATTAAGATATGATATTGTAAACTTGAACTTATTTTTTTATTTTTTTTTTATTTAGTCATTTAGCAGACGCTTTTATCCAAAGCGACTTACAAATGAGGACAATAAAAGCAGTCAAAAATTAATTATTAATATTTAATAATTTAAATATTTTAAGTAAAAGAAAAAAAAAACTTCATGATTTTCTGTAAACGTGCTTTGAAACAATGTGTGTGAAAAGAACCATACAAATAAATTTGACTTGACTAATTCATGTAAGTGCTTTAACAATAATATAAAAGCTTCACATTTATGCTTTTAAATCCTTTAGAATGCTGGGTCCGTTTACTTCCAAGTGCATTACTCTAACCACTTTTTTTAAGTATTTTTGAGGGCTGATTCAAAATGATTTTCAGCAGTAATCAATATCATGCCACAAAGATGCATTAAATAGGATGTGCAGGGCTTTGGTAAAATGCCACAGCTTGTGCTGATACCTCTCGAAATGCCGTTGGACACGGATGAGCAGTGTGGGTTGTTCCGAGCTGGACTCTGGGACTCTAGGAAGCTGTCGTCCAGCAGGTGACGTGGTTTCTCTATGGGGAACGTCACACTTTTACTCTCCACCACACCGAAATGCCACATCATACTGCGAGAGAGTCAGAAAACCATCACGAGGCATGAGATTGTGCAACACCGTAAGTTTCCAGGGAGAAGTAAGTTTGCCAAACTAAATGCAAAAGTCCTGCATATATGTGACCTTGGAGCACAAAGCCAGTCTTAAGTCGCTGGAGTAAATTTGTAGCAATAGCCAAAAATACATTGTATGGGTCAAAATTATAGATTTTTCTTTTATGCCAAAAATCATTAGGATATTAAGTAAAGATCATGTTCCATGAAGATATTTAGTACATTTCATACTGTAAATATATAAAAACGTAATTTTTGATTAGTAATATGCATTGCTAAGGATTTCATTTGGACAACTTAAAAGGCGATTTTCTCAATATTTAGATTATTTTGCACCCTCATTTTTCAAATAGTTGTATCTCGAACAAATATTGTCCTATCCTAACAAACCATACATCAATGGAAAGCTTATTTATTCAGCTTTCAGCTGACTTTTAAAATCTCAATTTCGAAAAATTGACCCTTATGACTGGTTTTGTGGTCCAGTTGTCACATTTGATATTTTGTATACAGTTACACTAACGTTCAAGTTTGGGGTTGGTAAGATTTCTTAATGTTTTTGAAAGAAGTCCCTTCTGCTCACCAAGGCTGCATCTGTTTGACTAAAAATGCAGTAAGACAGTAATTTTGTCAAATATTATTACAATTTAAAATAACTGGTTTCTATGTGAATATATTGTAAAATGTAATATATTTCTGTTATGCAAAGCTGAATTTTCTGCATCATTGCTCCAGTCTTCAGTGTCACATGATCTTCAGAAATCATTCTAAAATGCTGATTTGCTGCTCAAGAAACATTTCTGATTTTTATCAATGTTGAAAACAGTTGTGCTACTTCATGTTTTTGTGGAAACTGAGATACATTTTTTTCTGGATTCTTCTAAACCTAAAAAAAAGAAAAAGAAGACTAAAACCTAAAAACCAAAAAATTATTAAAATAAATTAATAAATGTTAAGTGGAATTAAATAAAATATAAAAAAGGAAACTTTTTTGTTACTTTCAACTAGTTGCCAAGGTTAACTTGATTTACTAAAATAAATACTAAAACTAATTAAAACTGGGGAAAAACATCTATAGAGGTTTATATAGAGGTCTACAGAGGTTAAAATTAAAATGGAAAATATAAAAATAAAAACTAATCCAATATATTAATAAAAACTATTATAGTATCTCAATGACACAAAAGTAGCATTGGTAACAGTCCCACCTTAAAAAAATAAAAATAAAAATCTGGGTTTTATAGAATAATTCATGCAAGTGAAATAATAAAAAGCTTCAAACTTATGCTTTAAATCCTCCAGAAAGCTGGGCCTCTGTACTTCCAAATGCATGACTTTAAATACATTATATTTATTTATTTTGAAACTGAGGGATGATTCAATATAATTTGATGTATATAAAGTTTAAAAAACAGCATTTATTTGAAATAGAAATCTTGTGTAACATTATAAATGTCTTTACTGTCACTTTTGATTAATTTAATGCATCCTTGCTGAATAAAAGTATTAATTTCTTTCAAAAAAATCATACTGACCCCAAACTTTTGATCAAAATACAGTATGTAAGTGTGTGTGTATATGTAAAAAGAGACAAAACAGACGCGTTTCCGAGGCTGTGGCTCTTCCTGTGGCGTGAGGGCGGCGGGGTGGGAATATGAACCCCCACGGTGGCATCAGGGCAAGTGGGCCGTCGATTATACCTGACCGATAAAGACAACTCAGACGGACCTGGACGAAAGGGACAAAGAGAGAAAAGCAGAATGAGTTTTGCTCTGAACATGCCTCATTGTATCTCAGCCACTCAGCGTCACACTCAATGAAACATAATGAAAGAAAACACGTGGAGACTCTGTCAGCGGAGCCTCTGCTTTAGCAATCACAGCCGCAACACAAATGTTAACATTCTCTGGTCCTCTTGAGGGAGACAGATTCACCGCTGCGATGATTATTCAGTCCTGAGAGAGGAAAACACAGAGGATCCCCAGAGTAACGGCATCCACATGTTCCTGTTCGTGAGTCAGTGATGGAGCTTCACGGCGGCTTTCTTTTCATCACATGCTTTCTGAGGCCTCGCTCGCGGGATTTTCTTCTATTGCACAAAGTAACTCCGTAACTTTAGAGCCTTTAGTGAACAAGTATTTTAGTATTGTTTATATACCATTGTAGTATTTATTAATATTTTGAATTAACCTTCATTTTTATATTTGTTAGTTTGCATTTTAGACTAGGTTTTAGCCATTTTATGTTTTTTTTTATATTTCTATTTGGTTTAAATTTAGATGGCACCAGTGTTATTTTAGTATTATTTATATACTATTATAGTATTTATTAAATTTTGTCATAACATGTTATGTGCTTTTGTTATTTTGTATTAGTTTTTGTTACATTAATATTTATATTTGGCTTTCATTTATTATTTATTTTATTCTGTTTTACATTTACATGCGGCCAGTGTTATTTTCATTTTATTTATATATTATAGTATTTATTAACATTTTAAATTAGCTTTTATTTTTTTACATTTTTATTTTAATTATTTTAAGTTTTAGTAATTTTATGTGCTTTTCTCATTTTAATTAAAACATTTTTTTAAATATATATTTCTATGTAGCTTTCATTTAGTTTTATTCCCGTTTTGCATTTAGATGGCACCAGTGTTGTTTTAGTATTATTTATATACTATTATAGTATTTATTCATATTTTGAATTAGTTTTTTTTTTGTATATTATCCGTTTTCATTTTAATATCAATTTAAGCTTTAGTAATTTTAATGCATTTTTGTCATTTTTATTCTTTTCAAATTGTATTTTTTTCTATTTGGTGTTAATTTATTTTTATTTCAGCTTTGTTTTAGCAATTTTAGTACTTCAACTTAAACTTATGTTAGTTAGCTGTTGAGGCAACATTTCTAATTTTCATTTACATTTCTTTTGGAAAACTGTTTGGAAACCATCATTAGCAAAGATGAAGGAAGTTTTCTCTTTCAGTTGCTCAAAATTAGCAGTATTATACTTTGACATGTTACTAATGGTGCAGATGCAGTTCAGCTTATTTACATGTGCATTTATGCATTTAGCAGACGATTTTTTATCCAAAATAGAGCATATCTGTTATTTGTGTTAAAGGGAAAAGTCTGAACAGTTTACATGTTCGCATGGGTAACTTAAGCGATAGTTCATCTAAAAATGAAAATTCTGCCATGATTTCTCACCCTCGTATTGTTCCAAACAATGACTTTCTGCCAAAATATCTTTTGTGTTTGACACAGAAAGTAAGTCATAATTTGGAGGCACATTTGTGTGAGTTCGTGTTGGGTGAACTATCTCATCACATGAACCCATCACAACAGGTGATCAGAGAGTCTCAGACTCAAGAGTCCTCCACAGTGGACAAAAACACCTTCAGGCATCATGGGAAAGTGGAAACAATGTAGGACAGCATGCTTACACACCAGAAGACACATTTAATGGAGCGACTGGAGCCTTAAACACTTATCAGTCTCTTCCAGTCTGGCTCTGACGACTGCTTTACACCTTGTTAAAGGTTCTTGTTAAAAGCTTCATTAATGAAATGAATGCCACATTCGGAGTGTGATATTCCATCTGACATTGAAAGCTGCATGATGCGGTGAGATCTGATATGAAGCAGATGTTCATGGAATTAGAACACGGATTTTTAAAGTAGTATCAGCAATTAAATGTAAAATGAAACTTGTGGTATGGAGCTACTTTTGTGTCTTTTTAGGCAATCAAACATACTTTGAATTGAATTATATAGTAATTAAAAAAAGACTGCAAATAAAAAGTCTTCTTAAGACTGTTTCTAATTGCAATAATACAATAATTGATAAAATAACTGATCTCAATTTTTTTTTATTAATAGTTTTGCTCTCACACACAATATGTTTGATTGCAGAAAAAAGTAGTGCTTGACTAATGATGATGCTGATATCTTATATTTTACATAGTATTTACTAAAATATTTGAAAATAAACTATTTCAAAATGTATCGATTTGAAAAAAACGATAAAAAGTATCTGTAAAATAAATGACAGATTTATGCTTGATTCAGCAACTTCTTGATTTGCTGGACTCTCAGCACTTCAAAATAAAAGTCCCCCGCATGACACTTATTGGACTCAAACTTAAAAAAAAGAAAAGAAAAAGAAAAAAACTAATTTTGGCTTATATGTCAGCTTTGGCAATGTATCTGTCATAAAGCAAGGCCAGACACAACGGGTAAGTGAAAGACAGGATGGTTTATTGGTACAGGATGTGGAGGAGTGGAATGGGTTAGGTTAAGGCAGGTGAGTGTCAACAGAGTGACTGATTCCAGGGTTCTTATCTGAGTTCTGAGGGTGAGTGTCTGATGCCGGTTTCGTGGGAGATCGTGGAACAGCTTCCAAGGAGTCGTTGGAGGATCGCGGGAGAACCAGAAGGTAAGTCTTTCTAGGAGAATATCGTATAGAGAGTCCAGGGCAGTCCATAGGAGTGAACGGTAGACCGGACAGCGAGTGACTGTGATGTGTGTGTATTTGTAGTGTGCTTGATTGGTGACAGCAGGTGCGGGTGATCAGAACTCAGGTGACTGTGATCGGGTGATTATCCGGGCTGGTGACTGCAGTGACTGTGATGAATCCCTGACAGTATCAGTCGACCACTAAACCTAACTCCATAATTCTTTACAGTAGAAAATGTGCTCCAGACATTGAACTGTGGCGCTTTTTGGGACACCCAGGATCGAATCCGACCTGTGTTATGTCCTGATTTCATCTATAATTCATAATTTCCTGCTTTGAAATAAAATGTGGCAAAAGACTATGATTGTTAAGCTTCAGAGGGAAAGCTGGCAGCACTCGGGGAAACTACAGAGCGGCTGCATCACTTCCAGTGCTCAAAATTGCAATCAGATGACTGGCTCAAACTGTGTTTGCACAGATATTATGCAGGTTCTACTGGAAAGACATACATTTTCATACATTATGGCCCTTTATTAATCACCTAATTATTAATTACCTAATATTTAGAGCACAGCTGACACTGGAGGCAATTGTAGGTCAATCATTTGACCTCTCAGCCTGATAGGACATTCTGTCTCGTTTTGTACTCGGCTGCTCCAAAAGCGTTTACCATGCTTTAAAGTCAACATTAAAGTACTCAAGTTACTCCAGTGTTTAGTACTTAAACATTTAAGAAGCTGTTAGGAGAAGAAGGTTTTCTAAATGTGTTTGTCTGGTGTCTTCTGTACCTGCTGACTCCAAATCTCTCTTTTCTTCCTCTATTAAAAGTGAATTAGATGTCAGACACATGCTTTGAGTTTAGCAGTACATGTTAGCAATCAATCTGGCCCTGTCTGTACGTGCTGATTCATACGTTTAGCCACATATTTTCCTGTGTGGGGGTCAAACTGTACGGTATGAAAACATAACTCGTGTTTCTTTTGTTTTTACTACTAAATGAGAGATTTGGGTGACGTTAGAGCCTCTTCTGCTCACCAAGGCTGCATTTATTTGATCAAAAATACAGTAAAATCAGCAATATTGTGAAATATTATTTCCATTCAAAAGAACTGATTTATATTGTAATATATTTCGAAATGTAATTTATTCCTGTGATCAAAGCTGAATTTCCAGCATCATTACGCCAGTCTTCAGTGTCACATGATCAGAAACCATTCTAATATGCTGATCTGCTGCTCAAGGATTCTTTGATGAACAGAAAGTTCAAAAGAATAGCTTTTATTTGAAATAGAAGTCTTTACTGTCACTTTTAATCAATTTAATGCGTCCTTGCTGAATAAAACTCACCCCAGACTTTTGAATAGTAGTGTATGCACAAAACTAAATGATGACAGGGAAACACAATGTGCAGAGCTAAGAATAGCATCCAAAGCAGCGGACGTGAGCGTGAGACGTCTCTGTCACGGGTCTGATTGTGATTAAGACCTGCTGTTACCAACATGAATGTAACTGGCTGCTTCCAGCTAATAATACTTTCACAGTGATGTATTTGAGAAATATTGTGCATGTGTGTCTGACTGTGACACAGAGCAACAGGTATGTTCACGCACAGCCTGGACTTTCCCATCTAAACACATTTACGGCTTCTTTCTTTTCAGTATCTGTCTATCGGTCCATCCATCCATCCATCCATCATTCTATTCATCGTTCTATCATCCATCTATCCATCCATCCATTCTTCTATTGTTCTAACCATCTATATTTCTATCATCCATCCATCATTCTATTGTTCTGTTCAACTATCGTTCTATCATCCATCCATCCTTCTACTGTTCTTTCCATCTATCATCCATCAATCCATTCATCCATCATTCTATTGTTCTGTTCAGCTATCGTTCTATCATCCATCCATCCTTCTACTGTTCTTTCCATCTATCATCCATCAATCCATTCATCCATCATTCTATTGTTCTGTTCAGCTATCGTTCTATCATCCATCCATCCTTCTACTGTTCTTTCCATCTATCATTCTATCATCCATCAATCCATTCATCCTTCTATTGTTCTATCATCCATCCATATATCCATCCATCCTTCTACTGTTCTGTCAATCTATCATTCTATCATCCATCAATCCATTCATCCTTCTATTGTTCTATCATCCATCCATATATCCATCCATCCTTCTACTGTTCTGTCAATCTATCATTCTATCATCCATCAATCCATTCATCCGTCATTCTATTGCTCTGTTCAGCTATCGTTCTATCATCCATCCATCCTTCTACTGTTCTTTCCATCTATCATTCTATCATCCATCAATCCATTCATCCTTCTATTGTTCTATCAATCTGTTGTTCTATCATCCATCCATATATCCATCCATCGTTCTATTGTTCTGTCCATCTATCATTCTATCATCCATCAATCCATTCATCCTTCTATTGTTCTATCAATCTGTTGTTCTATCATCCATCCATATATCCATCCATCGTTCTATTGTTCTGTCCATCTATCATTCTATCATCCATCAATCCATTCATCCATCCATTCATTCTTCTATTGTTCTATTAATCTACCATTCTATCATCCATCCATCCTTCTAATGATCTATCTATCATCCATCCATCCATCCATCCATCATTCTTCTATTCATCTATTGTTCTATCCATTTACCATTCTACCATCCATCCATCGGTTTATCCATCCATCCATCCTTCTTTTGGTTTATCCATCCATCCTTTTATTGGTTTATCCATCCATCCATCCATCGTTCTATCCATCTATCATTCTATCATCCATCCATTCTTCTTTTGTTCTATCCAACTATTGTTCTTTCATCCACCCATCCATCCAGCGTTTTATTGTTTTATCTAATGAAAATGTACAATTCAGTAGTGTTTAAAAAGCATCCTATGAATACGCAGCATGAGCAGAGCTGGAATTTAGACAACTTGGAAATTTGTTTTGATCGGTTGAACGTGTTTTGGTCACTACATCATACTTCAGTTTGTGTTATTTCATACTTTTGATGACTTTACTATGATTCTTGAATGTGAAAAATAGTCATAATAAAGATAGAGTAGGTGTGTCTGAACGGCTGTTCCATGTTTTGCTCTGTTTTCTGGCCTGAGTTTCGTGGCAAGATCTCATTTCCTCAGCTGGACGTCTTCACAAATACATCTACCGGGTTATGTAACAGCCAGTCACCCTGAGACTGTAGGAAAGACCTCGTCCGCACAGTCCTCGCTGTGATGTAACCACGTGGCCACAGGTATCTCATTCAATAAATGAAAATTATGACCGCTGTGTTATATTACACTCGGTCAGATCATCTGGTGCTGATATTTAGATGGGCATGATGCTTCATAGGGAAAAAATTTTGATGTTTTTATTTAATAATCAAAAACTTTCTGACTACAAATGTTCTAGACGTTCACTCCTGGCATTGGAATGAGAGTAGACGTGTTACTAAATGGCAAGAGAGGTTGCATTGGAAACCCCACAAACAACAACTTTTACGAACATGGAAACCTATAGATTTAGTTACACAGCTTAGGAGCAAATGCTTACAAATGATACTCATGGCGAACTTCTATTACTACTGGAAAACCCCTGTTGGCTCGTCATGTCGCAACAGCCAGGCAGCGTTGTACAATGAATGTCAGTATGTAACATACAATATTTACAATGTACAAGTCTGAGCAGTTCAAAGAGGACTAGAAATCCACACCTATATGTTTATTACATGGCTCACATTCACACAAGACACTGAAAGTCACTCAGACCATTTAAACTTTCAGTTATATGTGCCATAAAATAATCTCATAACTGTTTTTGGCAGTGAATAAACCAAAAGTACCTCAATTAGAGGAGTTAATGACTATGTGATGATATAGTATTAAGCTAATCAACTATTGTTTGTTCAATTTCAGCACAAATGTGCTCATGTGAGCTGTGGGCCAAAACACACAAGGTAATTTGGGCTAGTACACATTTTGTGTACAATTATTATAAATATAATTATTACTAACCGTAGTAAATTCATGGTCCCTAAACATAACATTATAAGATATGCAATTATACAATCTCTGATGAAAATAAAATAAAAAATAAACAAATATAGTTTAGCACTGAGCAATCCTGAATATTTTAGGCCTTTTGATGATGCCAAATATATTTAATAATTATATATATAAAAAAATTTCAATCAGAGGAAGTATCACTCGAAACTCCAGGAAGTGTCACTGTTGTCTAGAGGATTCAAAATTTTTAAATGCAAGTAAAATACAGTTAAAACCTAATTTTAAAGCTATTTTTAAACGAATTAAATTATATATGAGATATTATATAAATATTTAACCACTTGAATTAATTTACTTAAATATTATTTTCTTTTTTACACTAACAATTGTGAGTGAATAGATTCATAACACTAATTCCATGATTCATATGTGTATCAAATGACTGAATCAGTGTTCTGAATCAGTTCACTGAAATAGATGCTCTGAAACTGAATTCCATCAGTATTTTATTTCAGATCAGACGTGCTATTAAACTCCTTCTCAGACCTCTCATACATGTTTTGCTTTCATCAAAGAACCCTGAAAAAAAGTATCAGTTTCCTTAAAAGTATAAAAAAATTTTTTGCATATAGAATGATTTCTGAAGGATCATGTGACACTGTGATCACAGAAATAAATTACATTTTAAAATATATTACAGTAGAAAACATTTTTTCAAATGCTAATAATATTTCCCAATATTACTGTTTTTACAGTAATATTGGCGATGGAGCTTGAGAAGGTCGTTCAAAGCATTGCTCAACGATACGGTTCATCACTGTTTTCTGGCCTCAATGAGTGATGCCTGCATGTGGAGTTGTGATGTAGATTTGCAATATTGAGATTATAAAGGCTCCGTCGAGAGCCATTTATGTGCTATTTGTTTTCTCAGTCCACATTCTGTTCCCTTTGCCCTTTCAATGAGTCAAAGAGGACGGGGCCCCTCAGAGCCCTTCATTAACTCTACCACCAGGGGCCAGGGACCTCATTCAGATGGGACATAATGGATGCTGGGGGAAAATGACTGCAATGTCTTCTGTAAGTTACTACCGTTCAAAATTTGGGAGTCAGTAAGTTTTTATTTTTTTTTAAGAAATGAATACTTTTATTCAGCAAGGATGCATTAAACTAATCAAAAGTGACAGTAAAGACATTTATAATGTTACAAAAGATTTCTATTTCAAATAAATGTTGTTCTTTTGAACTCTCTATTCATCAAAGGGTACTGAAAAAAATATGTATCAGACAGGTATTTTAAATTGTAATAATATTTCACAATATTACTGTTTTTACTGATCAAATAAATGCAGCCTTTGTTAACAAAAGAGATTTCTTTCAAAAACATTTTAAAAGGTTTTGAACGATAGCGAACGATAGGGCCTCATGGCAAAAAATTATATTTCGACAACAAAATGCAGATATATTAAAAGTGTAGAAATAATGACATTTAGGGTGTTTTACCTGCAAGATCTTCTTTGGATGTGGCCATGCGCGGCGAGCTGTTCCCTGGTTCAATTTTCAGAGACAGTCTGTAATGGAAAGACAAGCAAAAGTCTCACACTCCACAAGTTCCAGGAAGCTTCAGGGTGGTACATTTAATATTTCAAAAGCAACTAATGTTTGGCTGAAGGTACAGGGTTTGAAGATGAATTTAGTTGAATCGGATCTGCCATAAACCCAAAAGAAGACATGTTAGTGAAATCACCACATCATTTTACCCTCAACCTTCAGTGCCACCTTAAACACTCAAAATTTATTTTACCGTAAGAGACGTCACTTTTAATTTAAAACAAAAATATAATGGAAAACAGGATTTTTCTTGCTCTTTTCTATTAAGAGAATAGTTCACCCAAAATTACAATTTGCTCAAAAAGTACTCACTAGCAACATGACTTGCTCACCAGTGGATCCTCTGCAGTGAAAAAAGTGAAAAGGTCCAGCTTTTAGCTTCACAAGACATTAACTGATGGACTGGAGTGGTGTGGATTACTTGTGGATTATTGTGATGTTTTTATCAGCTGTTTGGACTCTCATTCTGACGGCACCCATTCACTGCAAAGCATCCATTGCTGAGACAGTGATGCAATGCTACATTTCTCCAAATCTGATGAAGAAACAAACTCATCTACAACTTGGATGGCCTGAGGGTGAGGACATTTTCAACAAAATTGAATTTTTGGGTGAACTACTCCTTGAAAAAGTTTGATGCACTATGTATACCTTCGCCAAGTGCAAGAAGATTTCTTAAATTGAAACTGCAAAAATGACATCAAAACCACAAGCTCATTAACATATGACTGCCCACATTTACATTTAACACCTAGTCAGTATTCCTGCAACTTAACCCGCCCTGATGAACAACAGTCTATGTAAAATTTCATCACTTGCAAAATGACTAGAGAGACTAGAATGATCATACAACACTAAACTGTAACCACTTCACCTTTCAAAAGCTATAAAAGCACTTACAGGCCTCAGAGGTGATGTAAAATGTTCATGCATGCATTTGGCTATTCTAGTCGTGTACTTGACCTAAAGGAGACACTGAGAAACCCAAACAGGATCTGCTGGGCTGATAACATTTCACGTTTTTATAGGGGACCAGAAGGGACTCGTTGTTAACAATCCAATAGACTAAACTGCAATCTCTTATTTCCACACCATCAATTATGATTTGACATTCAGAATGCACAGAATATGCAAAAACAGCCTTTAATGGTGTTTTGGCATGATGTACGGTGAGCTTTAGAAAGGAGCATTCAAAATAAACAGCATGCAGCCAAGTTTCTGTCTCTCAAACAACAAGGCCAAGGTCATGGGTTCGATTCCCAGGAAATGAATGAGTTGAAAAAAATATATAGCTTGAATAAAGTCGCTTTAGATAAAAGCATCTGCCTAAAGCATAAATGTAAAAAATGAGTATAAGTTGTCAACTACTTGTCAGTCTCAACAAAAGTGAGTTTTTTGACCATTTTGGTCTGAAGTTTTGCTAAATATTGATGCTATGAGCGAACCAGGGTTATTAATTAAACGAAAAAAACATTTAAAAAAACACATTTTCATTACATATAAAAATAAAATAAAATTAACTTGAACTGAAATGAAATAAATATAAAAACCTTGACCTTATTTTATGTCAGAGAGTTGCCAAAGCAACATTTCTCATTGTCGTTTAGTTTAACCTGATGAACTGAAATAACTTAAACTAAAACTGAAATAAAAATTAATAAAAATCTATACAAATAATTAAATAAACAAAACCTAACAAACAAAATTAGTAAAACATTTAACTACAATTGAACAACAACTTTCCTACCCCAACATATGTAATAAAGTTATAATAATAATAATATTTTAATAACAAAATGTACAAAAATGCATCATTTAAAATACAAACAATAATTTATCATAAGGAAATTACGTAAGTTACAGTTAAATGATAGTACAGTTACATTATCTGTTATTGTTTATAAACAAAATAAATCTCACATCAGGGATTTGTTCAGTCATCTTTATTTGACATTCCACATTTATCCAGGTGTGGTACAGTCAGTTTACTCATCTTAAATGCAGCTACTGGACTTTTTTTTTTGACATTTATGATCATTAGAGATCAATTACTGTGTGTTTGTAATAATCAAATCATTGAATATTTTTAAATCATTGAACACATCTGCAGAAATGACATCCAAAGACCTCCAGGAAAATGAACCAGTTTAACACCATGAGCACACTGAAGAAAAAGTCCTCAGTAAACAACACAAGAACTGATGGCCAAAGAACAAAATGAAACCGCCAAAAACAGCAACTCAACAACCCGAAACAGCGTTCAGGGGATTTGTGAAAGAAAAGATCAGATTCTTTCAGGATAACACACTGTTTTAGGGAAGTCAGATAGCCGGTGGGTGTGGAGAAATCCCTGGAGAAGCACTAATCACAGCAATCAATCATTCACTGCTAATTTGCACATAACAGCATTTCTCAGTCACAAAAACACACATTTTCACTGATGAGATTGGAGTGACGTAACAGAGGTTGAGAGTTCAGAAACCAGACAATGTCAAACTATTCCAAACCATAACAAGGGTACAGTTTTAGGCCTCAAAGACGAGCTCCTGTGCAACGGCTGTTTCCATACGGTAGGCAGCAAAATGACCAAATATACCACATGCATCCGCTGCAAAAAAAGAAAATCCCAGAATGCACTGCGACGAGCTTGGTGTAAATTTCTGTGAGTACTACAGAGTTACACTACAACAAACTAACAGCAACTCTATTTAAAAAAGAGATTATTTCAACCAATTTCTGCCACGGAATAAAAAATCAAAAAGGTTACTTTTTTTTAAAAGGCAACTTTTTATCTCACATTCATCGCATGATTTTTTCCCCCTTGTAATTCTGAGTTTATATCTCTCAATTAAGACTTTTTTCTTGCAATTTGGAGAAAAATCCCAGAATTGCGAGATATAAACTCAGAATTCTGAGGAAAAAGTCAAAATTGTGAGATGTAAACTCAGAATTCTAATAAAAAAGTCAAAATTGCAATATTTAAATTCAGAATTCAGAGGGAAAATATCTAAATTACAAGACGTAAACTCAAAACTCTGAGGGAAAAAAATCAAAAATTGTGTGATGTAAACTCAGAATTCAGAGAAAAGTCAAAATTACGAGATTTAAACTCAGGATTCAGAGAAAAAAAAAGTCAGTTGCAATTACCTTTTAACATTTTTTAATCTGTGGTGGAAACAACTTGTCATAGTAAATATGCAAAACATATAAAGTACATTGGAAATCATTTCAAACTGCTCATTCCGCACGCAGCCTCTGTGTCTGGTGGGTGAGGTTCATTTTCCACCCAGTGTTTCCAGACCTGTGGACCTGCAACGCAAAAGCCCTCGAGCCGCCTGCGTCTTTCATGTTCGCAGCCCATCCAGAATGCTGGCCGCGGATCAGAAAGAGAGACGGCCATGAGGGAGGCCGGATACAGCCAGCAGCACACCCTACGGTTTCAGTGCGTTTGGGGTCGTAACGGGGTCACAGACGAAACGTCACCATGGAGACCACATGAGAACCGCCGACTATCATCGAGATTTGGAGCTGAGCCCATCTCACCGGCTATAAAACAGAGCTGAGCTGTGCAAAAAACACCCTGGAGATTTGAGATACGGCAAACCACAAATAACATCATGACAGACGCTCAGAGTCCCTCTGTTGTATAAACAAAGATGGAAGAGCTACTTTAAAAAGGTGTTCATCTAACAAAATGACACTGACTGAACTCTGACTCGATCCACAACAAAAGCTCTGTGATTTTAACCAAACGTAACTGCAATCTGATTATTGTAGGTCTTTTTAATGCGACTTTGGTTACATGTGTAGTGTACATGTTTTTCTTATGCCTAAACATCAAACAACACACAATTAGACATAAAATATTTGGATTTCTGCAGTGTACAGTATTGTAACTGTTGTGGCCAGTTGTTCGTGTTTAATAAGTCATAAATGTAACATTATCTCACTGGATGAAGTTTTGCTGACATAAGAATGGCTTTTGTTAGTTTGGAAGATAAAATAAGTTGAAAATGACAGAAAAATCAGTACTGATTCACAATGCACGCAGCATTGCTTACAGCAAAAAGTGTTTATGAATTTATAGCTTCAATTACATTAACGTTTTCTCATTAAATAAAACTGAACTTTATATGACAAATTTAAACCTGCACAAATTAGAATACATATATTTTCAAAATATGTAAAAACCTAACTTTAAATAAAAGACAATATACATTTGTTTAATATATAAAAATACATATCTTTTCAAAATATAAAAATCTAAATATATATATATATACATAATATACTGTATACTTGTATAAAAACATA